ACTTTCCATTTGTCCTCTGGTATCCCACTTGTGGAGACACCAGAGACAATTTAAAAGCAAACACAGCACAAGCATGTTATTACATTTGCTTGCGCTGCGCAGAACAAATTCAGGGCCTTTTTCTAATGCCAGAGCTCTTCAGCGCAGCTCTGCGCATTGAACCAACATGCTCACTTTGAGAGGAGGCGTGCTTGTCATTAGTGATGACAAAACACACCCTATCTGGCCCCGCCCCCTTCTTAGGGGGCCGCTCTGATTGAAAAATGCCCGGGCCTAATTTTTTTCCCAGTCCGGCCCTGGTGCTCTACGTAATGTCGTCACTTAGAGTTTTCTGAGTTGTGGTTCATCTGTAAAATTTCTACAATAGAAATCTGACAAATAAACTACATGTCCCAGAAACTACTGTTTGTTTGTTTGTTTTTTCCATAAAGGGATAAGCTCAGCAATGCTATAGAATATATAAAGAGTACGTTCGCCTCAGTCACTTCCTGGTTTGGTGAAAGCTTTTAGGGCAGGCTCAGACAGCGCTGGGTTTATATCTAATGTAGGGGATCTGACTGCACGTTATCAGGACAAGCTCAGACAGCGCTGGGTTTATATCTAATGTAGGGGATCTGACTGCACGTTATCAGGACAGGCTCAGACAGCACTGGGTTTATATCTAATGTAGGGGATCTGACTGTACGTTATCAGGACGGGCTCAGACAGCGCTGGGTTTATATCTAATGTAGGGGATCTGACTGCACGTTATCAGGACAGGCTCAGACAGCGCTGGGTTTATATCTAATGGGACCTGACCTCGCACGCTATCAGACAGGCCCAGACAGCCAAGTTCAATGTAGGGTCTGACTGCACGCAAGACCAGACAGGCCTGTGACAGCCAAGGTTTACTCCAATGGGGATCTGGACCGCACGTTGGTCAGGACAGGCCTCGTGACAGCTTCGGGTTTATATCTAATGTGTAGGGACGACTGCACGCTATCAGACAGGCTCAGACAGCTGGGTTTCACCAATGTAGGGATCTGACTGCACGCTATCAGGACAGGCTCAGACAGCTGGGTTTTATATCTAATGTAGGGGACTGACAGCACGTTATCAGGACAGGCTCAGACAGCGCTGGGTTTATATCTAATGTAGGGGATCTGACCGCACGTTATCAGGACAGGCTCAGACAGCGCTGGGTTTATATCTAATGTAGGGGATCTGACCGCACGTTATCAGGACAGGCTCAGACAGCGCTGGGTTTATATCTAATGTAGGGGATCTGACCGCACGTTATCAGGACAGGCTCAGATAGTGCTGGGTTTATATCTAATGTACGGGATCTGACTGTACGTTATCAGGACAGGCTCAGACAGCGCTGGGTTTATATCTAATGTAGGGGATCTGACTGCACGTTATCAGGACAGGATCAGACGGCGCTGGGTTTATATCTAATGTATTGGATCTAACTGCACGTTATCAGGACAGGCTCACACGGCGCTGGGTTTATATCTAATGTAGGGGATCTGACTGCACGTTATCAGGACAGGCTCAGACAGCGCTGGGTTTATATCTAATGTAGGGGATCTGACCGCACGTTATCAGGACAGGCTCAGATAGTGCTGGGTTTATATCTAATGTAGGAGATCTGACCGCACGTTATCGGGACAGGCTCAGGCAGCGCTGGGTTTATATCTAATGTAGGGGATCTGACTGCACGTTATCAGGACAGGCTCAGACAGCGCTGGGTTTATATCTAATGTAATGACAGCAAGTTATCAGGACAGGCTCGGACAGCGCTGGGTTTATATCTAATGTAATGACAGCAAGTTATCAGGACAGGCTCAGACAGCACTGGGTTTATATCTAATGTAGGGGATCTGACTGCACGTTATCAGGACAGGCTCAGACAGCGCTGGGTTTATATCTAATGTAGGGGATCTGACTGCACGTTATCAGGACAGGCTCAGACAGCGCTGGGTTTATATCTAATGTAGGGGATCTGACTGCACGTTATCAGGACAGGCTCAGACAGCGCTGGGTTTATATCTAATGTAATCTGACTGCACGTTATCAGGACAGGCTCAGACAGCGCTGGGTTTATATCTAATGTAGGGGATCTGACTGCACGTTATCAGGACAGGCTCAGACAGCGCTGGGTTTATACCTAATGTAGGGGATCTGATCGCATGTTATCAGGACAGGCTCAGACAGCGCTGGGTTTATATCTAATGTAGGGGATCTGATCGCATGTTATCAGGACAGGCTCAGACAGCACTGGGTTTATATCTAATGTAGGGGATCTGATCGCATGTTATCAGGACAGGCTCAGACAGCACTGGGTTTATATCTAATGTAGGGGATCTGACTGCACGTTATCAGGACAGGCTCAGACAGCACTGGATCAGGACAGGCTCAGACAGCACTGGGTTTATATCTAATGTAGGGGATCTGACCGCACGTTATCAGGACAGGCTCAGACAGCGCTGGGTTTATATCTAATGTAGGGGACCTGACTGCACGTTATCAGGACAGGCTCTTAGAGTGCCAGGTTTAAATGCACAGAAAATGAAGTTCATTATAGAAGTTTGGAGTTACGTATTTGTAATTACCTGTGGGATTGTTCTCTGCTCAGATTGCATGATAAATACTATGCATGTGTGTGGTTTAATCAGATTTGTAGCAGGTTCAGTGGATAACGATAGGGAGAGGGTAAGAGAGATACAAACCTGCTATAAATTATTTACTAACCAATCCGTGCATTTTACACTTGGTTTCGCCTGCTCTTTCTCCAGGGACAAGAAATGGAAGATTCAAACTGTTCCCATTACGCACAGTGCGTCGGCGAGGCGGGAGCTAGGTCGGTGTGAGCTGGTTCCTTAACTCTCTCTGTGCCAGACATTGGAAGCGATTTATCTGTCAGTAGTAGACCATGTTGTGTCTGTTAATACTCCCACCAGATACATATCAAACAATTGGTAGCAGATTGGGGTCCATTTCTGTGTTGGGGCCAGGGAGACTATACGGAAGGACACAGAATGTCGTCTGCCCATCACCTGAACCTTCAACCCAATTCCTTCACAGCATCGCTTTCATTCAACCTTATTTCAGTGACGGACACACCAGGCCCCTAAATTACTTCCTTTTGCTGAAATGCTCTATGTGTAAAGAGTGTGTCCTCTTTTTTTCATTTTAGAAAAAGTGCAGATATCAATAGCAATTGCCACATTTTTAAATGAACCTGGTTTCAGCCCTGGCTGTCAATCAGATAATTGGTCCTGTTACGTCCTGGTTTGTTTAGCTCAGTGGAGATAGACTCAAGAGGCAGCAATTGCCCAGAGCACCTGCCTTGCAAAGACTTCTCATTGAGCTGCATTGGGGAGTCTGTGATTGGACAGCCACAGAAAGTGTGGGCGAGGTTAGAGGGGGAGGGCCTGCAAAGGCTGCAGACAAGACATCACAAGACAAGATATACCTCCAATGAAAAATGCATAATCAAAAACATGTTTGTTTTCAGTGTGGGTATATCTACTAAACAGTATATTTTTCACATAGGGCAATGGGAGTGTCCCTTTAATAACTCATCACATCTTTTCCACCGAACATTCTACAATTGTTAATTAATCACTCCCATCCGAATAATGACCCTCTCAGCCCATCTTCGCCATTTAACTACCGCTCTATCACTTTATCTCCTCCTCCCTCTGAGCTTCTTCTATGGATTCTCTTCACCCAGAAGCTTAATGGCATCAAAGATGTGCCCACCTGCACGGACTGAAAACATAGCTAACTTAGAGAATATTTTAAATGTGAAATTTATTTTGAATATACTTTGCATTTGCCAATAATTGTCAGTTTTCTTCCTAACACACAATTGTGGAATATCCAAGGAACAATGGCTGCTGCTCTGGCAACATCCCAAATGGCTTTATTCACTAAACCGTGAACTGTGGAGCATTAAAAGGGGTAGAACAAACTGTGTACTCTTCTAAAATGTTATTACATGTTTTAATATGTATCTGTTTACTTCTATATAGCGCCCCTGTAGCGGACTGTGTGTTACTACTCAGTATTTTATTGTTGTCTGTCCCTACCCCTAATTGTTAAAGTATTTTATTCCATCCTCCCCGGGCCGGTTCAGTACACTGAGAAAAGAACCAAGTAACCCCCTATCTGTTGTGTCATTCGTTGTTCGCTAAGAATTTGCTTTGAACCATCTGAAGTTATGCCATTCGACAAACAAACAAACTACCGAACAACCAGGCCACCCCGGAGAGGAGCGTGGCACTAATTAACCTTCCCCATCGTTATTCCCTTTACCTCAATTGACAATTACATGAACGCACTATGTATTCCCTGGGTGGCCGCCGTTCAGCATACAAACATGTTGCGGCAGCCATCTTGCCATACGAACGCACCAGCGTTCCCACCAAACGAGGGGAATCATCTGAACCCAGGCAGAGCCCAGTATATTAAACAATTTCGTGCTTTTCACCTCACGAACTGAGACCTACCGCAAGGCCAAAACACATGGAACTCTCTTCGGCTAACACCTCGTGTGCGGCCAGGAAATTCACGAAACCCCTGAACCGATCTGGGTGATTTTTCAGTATGTTGCTCACCCAGATTGGGGCTATCAGGGGATATATAATTTAGGAGTGTATGTCATAGTCTTGGGGTACCTCCAGAAAACGGAGAAAAATGTGTGTTTCAAATGTATAGATACTTGTGTTATCTCCCAGGCTAAGGGGAGGGGATGTGTGGGCTGTAACCAGCTAGGGATTGGGTAATTCCTAATTTTTTGTGGGTGTCTCCCTTGCGTGAGAGGATTGCATAAAAGCAGAGTATGTGGCATTAAACATCAGTTCTGATACAGAGTGTCGTCCAGTTATTGGGAAAGGTGATATTCGGGGATTACTATATTTACTGTTTATGCTGTTATTCTTATGATAACCTACTTGATCCTGAGTAACTATTGGAATACCAGCGGAGAATGTTAAACTAGCGCTCCGCTACAGCCCCCTTTCTGCTCAAACAATTATTGCACTTTGCATCAAATATGCAAATTATTCCTAAACATATTTCCAGGGCACGAAACTCCAATCACACCAACTGAAATAGCATATTTTCTTCTTATTTTTAATTTTATCAAGAAACACATAAAAATACATTTCAACGGAGAACAGCCGTTATATTAGCAAATGGCTTTCTCTGTCTTTACTCTATATAAAGTCCATCGTTTGTACAATGCCCCTGGAAGACCGAAGGTGAGATCTCAGAAACCGCATGTTGATAAACGCAATATTTCTTCTTTTTTCTTCTTTTTCCTCCTTACGTGTTTAAACAAGGCTCCCATTGCATCAACATTATTAGCACTTAAATCTGTGGACCAAGGTCATCAAATGCTGAATAAGGTGCAGATTTAGAATTCATTTAATGCGTTCATTTTAATTTTTACATTTGACCATATGACCAATTTCCTGTGTATGTTAGTTGTAGATTTTTATTATGGGTTTTGTTAATTTGGAAGACTCTTCCGTGAAATCGGATTAATTAAATTGTTACATCACGCCAGTGTATTTTTATATTAAAATACTTTAAGTTGCATCATTTGTGCATAATGAAATCCATTGCCTGGTTTGTTAGTCCTGTCCTCGATACTCTTTATATGTAGGGACCCTAAAAGTCTAGCGCAGGGATAGGCAACCTTTGCCACTCCAGATGTTGTGGACTACATCCCCCATTATGCTCTTACACCCAAAATGCTGGCAAAGCATCATGGAAGATGTAGTGCCTAAGGTTACC